CCGGTTCGGTTCCACGGCCTTCCTGAAATGAGACGTCAAGGTTAGGGGAGACGGTTGTTATCCGCCCCTCCCGTCATATGCTTCATCCGTGCAACGCTTTTGCAAGACTTCTGGGCCACTAAGCCCGACACCCAAAGCCCAGGCAAGCAGGCTCTCGGTGAGATAGCCTTCGCGACAGGAGCCCAGGCCACCACGTGCAGTAAGTGGCAACATGATGCTCGCGGGGAGGAAGATGGTGCCATGATCATGTCGACAACTACCGACCGTGCCACGAGCCCTGCTTTTGACAGGCCATTTCGGAGTTCGACCGAGTGCCGTGCGCCACCAAAAAGTGGTCACATTAGAAGTCAACATTGTGAAGCGGTTCAGGCCTCAGGCTTTGGAGTGTGGGAGTTCGCAGGTTTCAGTCTAAGTCCAAGGGCCACACTACATCATATCACAGAAGATACAGCAATAGCTTAATAGCTGCACTGTGCCACGGTTGCCGGGAGTAGTGAATGCATGCGATGGGCTGATCTGACAATGTTGATCCAGGGTGCTGTTCGCTAGGTTCGTGTAACGTCGGACGGCATTTCGAGTTTGATGTGTGTGAGGGTGAAGTCTAGGGATGAAGGTTCATGCAGGCACCGAAGCCTTGAAGAGTCCTTGACTGACTAGGATCTCCAAATAGACTGGGACCGCCGCATCTCGGGACTTCATGGAGTTGAGGGTTTAAGAGATAGGGCCAGGGCCTGGGTGTTCCGTTTCGAGTTTGAGATGTTGCAGGAAGAATCAGGTGCTCCGCAGGGGTTCAGGTTTGTCTCTTCGTGCTTGCAGGTACGGTTGCTCGAAGGTGAGCTGGAGCCTGAGATCGACAGTGCAGATTCCAAGGACATGCATGCCATGGTGTTCTGTGCTGCCATACCACAGTCTACCGTTAAAGCCAAAGCTGCATCGGTCTTTCATGCCGGCTTTTCCCTGTGCGAAAAGTCTGCAAGGTGTGGATGTGCCACATAATAAAATAACTGGACCTGCCAGGCCCTCAGGCTGCATCCGAGGGTTTTTCTGTGAAATGCGGGAGTTTTCTTGCAGCTTTCTCGGTTGTGCTTGCTTCCGCAGGTTGCCGAGCTTGCACGGGTCCTGTACTTCACTCGACGTCCAGGGCCTGGCCCAGATTCTTCCGCAGGGTTTGCTTGGCCCAGCTTCGCATGCAAAGGTGAAGCCGAGGAGATGATGCACGCGCCAAAGCTGGACCCAAAGGCCCCCCTGTTTCTTGGACCGGAGGCCCTTTGGAATCGCGATTTTTCGGCCGGACAGGTGCGACACTATGCAACCGACACGGCGAATTATGCCAGAGCCCTGAGGGTCCGAGGAAGATCGAAGAGAGATTGGATGGACTCTGACCCGAATCAAGCAAGAGCTGTAGGACTGAGTCCCTTGAATCAGAGCTCCACAACCCCCCAAGGCGCACGACTTGGAGTTCTTCGCAAGGCAGCCTGGAGCCCAGGCGGAGCAAACAGAGCCAGGGCTGCAAGCTGCGAGGACTCTAAGACTCTAAGCCCGAAGCCCGGCGACATCCGGGGACGCTTGAAAGCCCTCGCAGACTGAGGTCTCCTAAACTGGGGGGGCTCCAGGCTCAAGCCAAACTCCCCTTCTTCCTCTTTCCGTTTTGGTGTTGGCTGCCCAGCATGCCCCCGGATAACACTAAGTACTGAATAAGGTTGGGGCTGGCACTGAAGATGCCAACTGGCGCAGGGGGCCAAGCTCGAAAGCATCAGAAGGGTTTCCGAGCCTCTTTTTCCTGTTATTCGCAGTGTTCCATGCCTTCGGCTGTACAATGACTTGCACGTCAGTTTGACCCTCATTTTTAGAGTGACATCATCCTCTCCCTCGTCCTGCTCATCATGACCACCTGAGCCACTGCCATCATCATCATCATCATCATCATCATCATCAGCCAGTCGGCGTCATCATGCCTCCGAAGTTTAGTGCTGCTACAGTACCAGAGTACGGTTGGCTGATGCTGTCGACATCTCGAACTTGTGGCCTTTTTTGCTCTCGTCGTGTGCTAAGGTGGATCCGCCGGGAACTTGTCTTCACCTGCGAGGGTTTCTATCACATCCAACCTTGGTGTACCTGGTACATCAAGAGCACGTGAGGGTTTCGGATTTCGGAAGTGCATGGAACCTGATGATGGCCGACTTTGCCAGGCCCTCCTGCATGGAGGGCCCACACCACGAGAATGTTGTCAACCACTGTATGACACGACGGTCACATGCCGGCGCTTGCACATCCGAAACGTAACGAGTGCGCCGTAAGGCGCCAAACAGGTTCCTGGGTCAATCAACGACGGACGGCCTCAACCCCGGCTTACAGTAGCCCACCGCCCCGACCCCGAGGCCTTACCTGCCTTTGGACATGATGTCCATGCCGGACCCATCGCTTTTGGCGATGCCGCGGCCCTATTCGGGGAGCAGTTTGGGTCACAACTGTGCATGCATCATGACAAATACCATTCGGACAATAGGCTCGCTCAAGTGAACAAACCTGTACTAAACAAAAGAGGATCATAGAAATTGTGAAGCTGGCTTACATGTATGTCAGGATTGGTTTCAGCGTATGTTGCATGGGCGGCTCATGTTGCTCTCGGATGCTTTGGGAGTCGTCCCGAAATATATTGAACGTTTGTTGATTCACTACATGGTGATAGACGGCTGCTGCTAGTCGTATTTCTGCAACCTTCCTTGGCCGTTGCTACAAGCTGTGGTTGTAGTTATTGCTGTTACCTCTTGCTCTTCTTCGTTCTTGTTAGTGTTCTTTTCGTTGTTGTTGTTGTTGTTGTTGTTGTTGGTGGTGGTGGTGGTGGTGGTGGTGCGATTTCCGTAGGTGCCGTATTAGTAAGACTGTTTTGTTTTCATGTCTAGCTTTGGTAGCGGCAGCCGTACCAGTTGCGGTTGCAGTAGCAGCAGTGTTGTCGTGGCGACACTGGCGGCACACATTACGACGAATGCTGCTGCTACTATTAGTCCTGTCCCTGCTTCTTCTGCTACATGATGATCAGTTGTGGAAGGTATTGTGTCGATTCATTGCAGAAGGCTGCAGTATGTTGATTCTGCTCGTTTCCGTCTTTTTAATACAGCTCTTGCTAGTTCTGGTGGTCAACAAGTTAAACAAGATCGCAAAGCCTATCACGGTGACCGAGCCTGATTTTTCGTAAGACATGACATCCTCAAATTAATAATTTCGCGAACAAGAGACACTTGCATTGGGGATCAGCGAGCTCAAGACAAGGCAACAAGTCCTAGCATCGTTGATTGTTCGGAAGTCGTTGATTCTTCGGAATATTCGGCTGTAGCAGAGGACTCGGAAAGCGCCCTGTCCATACTTGTTCAACTTATTCGTCCTTTAGTATCTTCCTTCCGATTCTGTTGCCGGTCTTGCAACAGTCCCATCACCACTACGGCAGCTCGCGTTCTTGCGACTCTCCGAGCTCTCTGAGGCTGCCGACTAACCTTGGCCCTAGCGGACATCAGGCAGCGTCTCGGAGTGGAACTCCAGCAGCCCGGTGCGTGATACGTGTGTTGTGCAGCATCACAGGCTCCCCTGCTTCGGTGCTGCCCTGAGTCCATGCAGAACAAGCACCTCAAGTCACAACAACGCTGATCTCGAGTTCTGAGTGGCTTCAAATGCCAAAGTCGATGGACTTGTGAACTTAGGACCGGTAGCTTCTTGTGAGGAAGTGCCGCAGTGCTGCAGGCAACCTAAGGGCATCCTTCCTGGTTTGGTGCTTGGGGGACATACGAAAATAGAGGTGATAAACGAGAGGTGGAGTTTCTGCTGTCCAGAGCATGAATGCAGGCAGATGACATGGGGGCGCCGCGAAGCGCGCTAAAATGCGCCAGAGCACGATCGCCTTCGGGCCTTCGCGTCCACCTCACGAAGAAAATCGCGGAGCGGTGATTGCAGGCATGGTTCCTCTCTCCGATGATGTCGCAGGATGTGGTTCATTTGCAGTACAGTCTGTCGCAACACGTTGCAATTCGGCTCAACAGATGAGAACATGATGAAATTGAACAGGACAGTCTTGCTGGAAGCCAAGCATCAACCCAAGAGACATAATCTCCGATCATCTAGCCCGCATTGCATTACTCTTCGGGACACACTTCGCAAGCTCTGCCTCA